GCTCCTCCAGTCTGTACCAGAAAGTAACTACTGTGGCTCCTGCTGCTCCCTTATTGAGAATTCTTATGAAGTTTATGCATTTTTTCATGTGAGACACAGGAGGGCAGGCACCTCCAACATGGTCTTCACACCACAGTCCCCTCCTCTCAGCCCCCCTGGGGCCATGGACACCACACTGGCACCCAGCGTGCTCAGGGAGGATCTGGGACCCAAACTCAGGCACTTTCAATGGAGATCCAGTTGCATTCCTACACTAGCTCTGCCTACTGCCTCTTTTTTCTATTTTAAAATTTATTTGTGGGACCAGCAGTTGGCACAATGGCTATTTCGCAGGATTCCCATGTAGTCACCCACAGTTCAAGTCCCGGACCCGGTGACTTAAACTCATGCCGGGTGCGTGTGCGTGGATGCCCAAGATCCCGAGAGGAGACTGGAGGAGAAGGGATTGTGGTGTGGCCATCCCCCCTGGGGGTGATTTCTCGCTTTCTATCTGTCACAGAACAGCTGGGCCACGGCTCCTCCTTCCTGGGATTCAGATTCACCTCAGCCTGGATCTGACCATCGGCTCCCTGAGAACTGGGAGCTCCTAGGATTTGAGGCTCATTATTCATTCCAAGAAAATGCAGGGAACCAAGAAATCTTCCGGGACACATGGTGTTCACACTGGGAATTTAGGAGGGAAGCAGAGCTCTCAGGTGCATAGTGGCCCCCACAGGCCCTGATGCCTAAGGTGGGGACAGCTGGCCCCCAGATGGCTTCCCTGATGCCAACTCTTCATGGAGACCTGCAGGCTTGGGCCAGCCTGGAAAGAGGCAGGAGGCAGCCCAGGGCAGGAGGGGTTGCTGACATGAGGGGGGGTGCAGTGGTGGGACTCTGGCTTCCCTCCAGGGAACTCTGGAGCTGGGGAATTCCAAGTGTCCCTAGGTTGAAGCAGGGTCTGGGACCTAGACCTACGGCTGTCCAAACCAGACCTCTCTGGGTAGAGGCATGAACTGGAGGAAGGGGCCCAGCTCTGAGGGGCTGACAGCTCCCAGCAGAGGAGGTGGGTCAGCCCTGAAGTGGGGCCGGGCAGATCCCACAGGGCCCACGGCACAGGCTTGCTCTGTGAGAATCCCATCATGCCAAGGTGCTGCTCTGTCAGGACTTCAGCCAGCTGGACAGGGCTAGGTGTTAGTCCTGGATATTTGGACCAAAGAGAGGCCCAGTGACCCCCACAGAAACCTGGGTCGATAAGTGGAGGACAGATGTGTCCTCATGTCTTGTCCTTGAACTCAAGTCACTTCTCTGCACTTCTAATAACAGACCCTAATCCCCAGGGCAGTCTGGTCCTGCAGCCCTGAGTGCACTCCCCACATTCCCTCTGCAGATCCCACCTGGAGGGCTGGGAGGAGAGGACAGCACGGGGGGCTCAGATCCAGGTGACATGGGCCAGCCCTGCTATGTCCCCAGTCCTCCTGGGTCTGCAGGGAGAGTGAGACCCAGACAGGGAAGGGGGTTTGTGTCTCACTTCCCCATCTGCCTGTGTCACTGTGGGGTTATTACCACTGCTGTCTGCTGACTGACAGAAATAGTCAGCCTCGTCCTCAGCCTGGGCCCCAGTGATGGTCAGGGTGGCCGTGCCACCAGAGCGGGAGCCGGAGAACCGCTCAGGGACCCCTGATTCCCGATCGCTATCATCATAGATGAACAGTGCAGGGCGCTGGCCTGGCTTCTGCTGGTACCAGTGAGCACCAAGGATTTCTATTACTCCTCCCTGGCAGGTGATGCTGACTGTCTCTCCCAGGGCCACAGACACCGCAGGTGACTGAGTCAGCCCAGAGGAGGCCACAGAGCCTGCAAGAGAGGACAGGACAGGTCAGCCTGAGGCCGAGGGTCTCATTCCTAGAGGACCCCACACCCTGCAGCACCCTCTGTGCTGAGCTGAAGATCTGGACAGGCTGGTCCCTGGTTGTGTGGGGCTGAGCCCTGGGGGCAGCACCTGTGCAGAGAGTGAGGAGGGGGAGCAGGAGAGGGGTCCAGGCCATGGTGGAGACACCCCAGAGCTCTGCCTCTGAGCCCACAACTGGGAGGGCTCCCAGGTCTCTCTTATCCTGAGAGAGGGGGGGCTCCTCATGCAAATGTCCTTCCTTCTGTGGCTGGGGGTGGCTCCCTGCTGAGAACAGAAGGGCTGGGCTTCCCAGAGGGTGTCCATGGGCCTGTCCCCAAGGACTGTGCCCAGGATCTCAGAGTCTCTAGTGTGGATAAGGAAATTTTTGCCCCCCCCCCCCACACACACCCACGCAGACTCACACACACATCAGGAAGGACTCTGGGCTCCTTCCCTGGGCTGGGTAAGACCCCTCATTCCCCTCTCTAGTGCCATGATTGTCCCCGGGGTTGTCTAGCAGAGATTTGGCAAGATCCGATGGACTCAGGGGTCATGCTGAAGGAAAGGAGAACCGAATTGCACAGTTCACAGGGATTCAGAGGAAATGCCCACAGGCCTAGGAGTAGATTTTATTGTTTTAGCAAAGAAATAAATATCATATTTTTACCTAGAATGTGGCAAAGATTTTCAGTACTAACAGCAAGCCTTCAGATCATAAAAGGAGAACCTGAGAACTTAGTCTTGTTGAAAGTATAATCTTATTAACCTTACTAATGTTTAGGACTGGGTCTCCCCGTGTTGTATACCTCATATGTCGGCCTCCCCCTCAGAGCGGACATGAGGTCCAGACTTGCTTTCCAGACAGGGCCTCACTATGCTGCCCAGGCCAGGCTGGAGCTGGGGACACCCCTCCTCAGTTCCTGACACACTGGGGTTTCTCCGACGCACCAACATGCCCGGCTGGAGCCTGGACTAGAATCGCACCTTAACTTTCCCCTCTCTTTCTTTCTTTCTTTCTTTCTTTCTTTTTTTTTTGTGAAAAGACTACCTAAATGTTATTTCCAGCAACTTTCTATATGCAATGAAATGTCACTAAGCCCTCATGCTGTGTGCGGTGAGGTCTCTGCACTCACTCCTGACGTCAGAGGAAGGGCCAGGTGGTGTCAGTGGAGAGTGGATTCACCCTCAGGAGAGCCTCAGGGGAACCTCAGTCATGCCCTCTGCACTGAGCTCCTCCAGGGCACTGGGGTATCAGGGTCCCCAAACCAAGGCCCACAGTGCCCCCTGGTGTCCACAGGACTCACGTCACCTACATGTGTCACTACTTCCTGCACCAGGCCTGCTTCAGTCCTGCCCACACAATCTGGGTAGTTTGCTGAGTGTTTTACAGGAACTGCCTCAGCCAGACCTTCCCAGTAACCCCAGCAGCCCTGAGCTTCAGGCACCATCTCTCCTCCCGTCTATGTCCAGGGAACACCATGGGAGCAGACATGATTTCTCCACAGTCCCAGAGAGCAGAGGAAGGAGCCCAGGGCCCAGGAGACCCAGCTCAGAGCTGCCCTCAGCCTCCCTGCCCTGTCTGCTGCTCCCACCCCTCCTCTTCCCTTCACCAGGCCTCCTGGGTACTCTTGTCACAACCTCTCTGCTGTGTCCATGTGCTCTGGGCTGTGTGGGCAGAGGTGGGGACCATCCCTCTGTTCCCTCTAGGGCTCGTGACACAGGGGAAGCTGTCAGGGGGACAAGGGGACCACAAAGGCCTGGTCGAGCTCCTCCTGTAAGCGGGTGTCCTGACCAGGTAATTTTAGATTTCTTTTCTGCCAAAGTGAGGGTTAATAATAATTAAAGGTAAATGCAAATGAACTATGAATGTGTTAGTGTGGACACACACACGTGCCCGTCTGTCTTACACTGTCCGCAGGATCCAGGGAGGGCCGACCTGCCTCCTCTCCATTTTCAGTCACCTCAAAGGACGTCCCAGTTTCCTTTGGTTTTCTTCACTGTCTCCCTTGGTATTTAGGAGTGTGCTTTCGAACTGTTCCTATTTGTGATTTCTAGGGAATTGTTTCTGCTACTGAATCCTAATCCCTTTCTCTGCTGTTTGGATCACATACACTGTGTTATTTCTGTGTTTCAAATGCACAGATTCCTTATTCTTTTCTTTAGAGGTTTTTGGTATAGAGCGCATGCGCTTGCCAGAAAGACACAGAGAGACAGACAGAAAGTGAGACATCACCTCCCAGGGTGGTTTTCTGGCCATCTGCGCCACGATTCCTTCTCCTGCATCCTCCTCTCAGGATCTTGGGCATGCACACACGTACATGCACCCGGTGTGAGTTTAAGCCACTGGGCCGGGATTCAAACCGCTCTCAGCTACATGGGAATCCAGCGACATAGCCATTACACCAACTGCTGGTCCCATGCACTGATTCCTTCTCACACCTACAGTAAGATCCATTCTGGAGGAGGTTCCAGGTGGAGGATGCGGTTTCTGCTGTGCTGGACAGACTCTCCCAGGTGGAGACCAAAGATTGGGAGAGGCCGTCACCTCCCAGTGCTGGTCTCCAGGGAGGAGTCCCGTGACCTGTTCTGTGAGCTGTCCCCACTGCAGTGAGGCCGCAGGACACAGTTCAGGATTCTATTTTGTTCTGTGGTTTTTCAACATAATTATTTCCATTTCAGTCCATAAACTCTGATACTTGAAATTAGAGCCACGCAGAGATATATTCACCGGTCCATGTGCCAGAAAGTGTCTCCAAAGGGACTGTTTTCTTCAATATCTGCACATTCAAAAATCACTAATACAGGGACCAGCACATAGCATAATGGTTATGTCACTGGACTCTTAGGTTGTTGACCACAGTTCAAATCCCGGGCCTGGTGGCTTAATACAGGCTGGGCACATGTGCATATGTGCTCAAAATCTTGAGAGGAGAATGGAAGAGAAGGTGGATCCCCCAGGGAGGTGATTTCTCACCTCGTCTCTCTGTCTCCCGTCTCTCTGGCTAATGCACATGCTGTATACCAAAAATCTCTCTCTCTAAAAACACACAAAAATCCCTAATACAGATGGCACACATGTTTGTAGATAACAGGTTCATACAGTCCAAGGAGGTAGGGCCTCGGGTGGGAGAAACATGGGAGAGCATCCCGACCTGGCTCACTTCTAGCCCATGTGCTCCAGGATCCCGAGGGGAACACAGACGTGCAGGGGTGAGCAGCAGAGAGCAGGCCTGGAAACTCCACCTTCAGAAAGACAGGGGCCTGCTGCCTCCCATTTGTCCAGAGACCTTGTCCTCTTATGTCCATGAGTCTGCTGGGCCGTCCTCAGCCCCGTACACCCCTCTGTGCAGATCAGGCCTCAGCAGCGATGAGGATCCTTCCTCCCCAAAGTCTCAGTCTGGAACAGACACCACGGTGACCACAGGCCTACCGCACATGGCGCTCCAGGTCACCAGCCCGGCAAGAGCACAGTCCTGTTGTACACAGAGCTCAGAGCCTCATTGCACAACCTGTGGACCTACTGTGCTCAAGATAGTCCTACTGTGTGCAGGGAATGTTTTCCTGCCCAAAAAACATTCTGCAAAAATTTCCCCAATCTGCAAGCTCCAAGTAAAATCCCACATGAGAAATGCCAGCTCCAGTCAGCTCCGCTCAAATATGAGTGTGCAAATTGGTGACCCTTGTTTTCTGCAACATTTAGCAGCTCCACCTTCCAGGATCTGTTCATCTGTTGTAGGGACAGACAGCTAAACTGAATATGCGGCCCTGATGAAATCCCGAGTCATGCTGAAGAGAGCTGTCCTGGAGGGCCCTCTCCTGATGAGAGCCTCTTCTCCTTGGGGTTAAGCAGCTGGAGAAGGGCCCTGGGGTGTGTCTCCTCTGGTTCCTGGACAAAGAGTCCTCACATTGTAAGGAGCCCCTGCACCTCACAGGAGTGAGGACAACAGATCCTGTCCCACCCGCCCAGGGCCCTTCTTGGCCTGAGGTTTCTGAAGAAATTGCCAATTCTGCCCTAGATCTCCCCTGGTAACTTTCTTCTGATCACAAACCTCTCATTTTGTCCCCAAGGTCCAGATTGCCCAAGTCACCACTCTAGTGTCTCTTGCGGGGGTGTGATGACAAAGCTCTGGAGTTGGCTAGAGGGGATGATGGGACAATATTTACAATGTACCTCCGATTGCTGGACTGGACACTAAAAATGACTAAAAGGGCAAAAGTTACATTATGTTTATTTTAATCATAATAAGAATATTTCATAGTTTGGGGAAAAGTAAAAGTAGTGTAATTTATAGAATTAGTCCACGAAAGAAATATAGAGGAGGGGAGTCAGTACTACCCGACTGTGAAGTTAAAAAATAACCTTAATCAAGAAATCAGGAAAACGTAGTTAAATGATGCTTTATTTAATGCGATATGTCCGAAATAGTGTGGGTCCCACATGCAATTGATAGAGAATTGTGCATATTTTACATATATTTTCATGGTTCTCCGGCGGAGGCCATGCAGCGAACACAGGCAAAGCCTAAAAGAGCTGCCTCTCATGTCTAAGCAAGGTTTGACTGAGAAGAACTGCAAGCCAGGCTAACAGTTACGAGCTCAAGGTTTCAACTGTGTTTGCTACGCTGGTTTGTGCTGTTTTTTGCTCTCAGCTGGAACAGGTCTCTGGCAGTTCTCAAATGTTATATTTTCATTAAAAGCTTTTGGCTTTTTTATGTGAAAGAGAAAGAGACTAAGAGACAGAGGTGGGCATCCCCACAGGGTCTTCATCGCACAGTGAGCTCCAGTCTTAGCACACAAGCACCCAGTGTACTTAACACGGGTCCTGGAATTGAACACAGAACCTTCCCTATGTGAGTCCATTCGTGTTGCCAAACCCAACAGCTTGCTCAGCTCTCTCTCACTTCCTCTCTGTCTTTACTCTTAATTTGGAGATTATGTGGAGGGAGATATGAATGAGTTTCATGCTGACAAGGGTGAACTGCAGTGGCCCCTTCATCGTCCGCCATGACAGGCCGAGCTGAAACTCAGAGTCATTTAATGTGAACCTCTGCTCTGGGGTGAGGAGAGAGAGTGTGTACAGGTGTGGAGGTGGAGGAGGACGCTGTGCGTGACCAGCTCAGTCCCCCCAGGTGAGTGTCTGTGGCTCACGGTGCAGCTGGGGCAGCGACTCCTCTGTCCTGGGATTGGCCTTCAGCCTGGAGATGTCAGCTCTCTCAGAACCCAGAGCTCTTGAATGTGAGGGTCTTTTCTCATCCCAGGAAAATGCAAGGAGCAAACAGGTCTACTGGGACCCTCAGCACACACACCAGAATTTAGGAGGCAATCCAGAGCCCCCAGGTCCCGGTGTTCATGGTGGGGACAGCTGGATCCCACATGGTTTCCCTGAAGTTAACTCTCCATGGAGACCTGCAGGCCTAGGCCAGCTTGGAAGGAGGGAGGAGGCATTGAGGAAGGAGCAGATGCTGACCTGCAGGGAGGGAGCAATGGGGGCCTTGAGGCTTCCCTCCAGGGAGCTCTGGAGCTGGGAGACTTGCAGGCTGTGCTACGTTGAGTAAGGGCCTGGAATCTTTGCCCTACAGTGCCATCAAAACAGACCTCTCTGGTGGAGGCATGAACTGGAGGAAGGGGCCCAGCTCTGAGGTGCTGACAGCTCCCAGCAGAGGAGGTGGGTCAGCCCTGAAGTGGGGCCAGGCAGATCCCACAGGGCCCACGGCACAGGCTTGCTCTGTGAGAATCCCATCATGCCAAGGTGCTGCTGTGTCAGGACTTCAGCCAGCTGGACAGGGCTGGGAGTTAGTCCTGGATATTTGGACCAAAGAGAGGCCCAGTGACCCCCACAGAAACCTGGGTCAGTAAGTGGAAGAAAGCTGTGTCCTCATGTCTGTCCTTGCACTCAAGCTGCTTCTCTGCATCTTAAATAGCAGACCAGACCCTAATCTCAGGGCAGTCTGGTCCTGTAGCCCTGAGTGCACTCCCCACACTCCCTCTGCAGATCCCACCTGGAGGGCTGGGAGGAGAGGACAGCATGGGGGGCTCAGCTCCAGGTGACATGGGCCAGCCCTGCTATGTCCCCAGTCCTCCTGGGTCTTCAGGGAAATTGAGACCCAGACAGAGAAAAGGGGTTTTTGTCTCACTTCCCCATCTGCCTGTGTCACTGTGGGTGTGTAATCACTGCTGTCCAAAGACAGACAGAAATAGTCAGCCTCGTCCTCAGCCTGGGCCCCAGTGATGGTCAGGGTGGCCGTTCCACCTGAGCGGGAGCCGGAGAAACGATCAGAGACCCCTGAGCCTCGGTTGCTATCACCATAGAGGAGCAGTGCAGGGCTCTGGTCTGGCTTCTGCTGGTACCAGTCTGCAGAAAGTATTCCTAAGCTTCCTCCCTGGCAGGTGATCCTGGCTGTCTGTCCCAGGGCTACAGACACTGAAGGCGGCTGAGTCAGTGCAGAGGAAGCCACAGAGCCTGCAAGAGAGGACAGGAGAGGTGAGCCTGAGGTTGAGGGTCTCCTTCCCAGAGGGCCCCACTCCCTGCAGCACCCCCTGTGCTGAGCTGAAGGTCAGGCCAGTCTGGTCCCTGGTTGTGTGGGGCTGAGCCCTGGGGGCAGCACCTGTGCAGAGAGTGAGGAGGGGGAGCAGGAGAGGGGTCCAGGCCATGGTGGAGACACCCCAGAGCTCTGCCTCTGAGCCCACAGCTGGGAGGGCCCCCAGGCCTCTCTTATCCTGAGGGAGGGGGGCTCCTCATGCAAATGTCCTCCTTCCTCCTGTGGCTGTGGGTGGCTCCCTGCTGAGCAGAGAAGGGCTGGGCTTCCAGGAGGGTGTGCCATGGGCCTGTCCCCAAGGCCTGTGCCCAGGATCTCAGACTCTCTCTGGTGTGGAGGAAGACAGTGCATTCCCAGCATGCACACGCACATGCACACTCACACACACACATGTACCCACATGCACGCTCACGCACACCTCAGGCTGAGTCCTGAGTTTCTTCTCTGGACTAGACAAGCCCCCTTTACTCCCAATTCTAGTGATGAGGTTGTCCCTCGGGTGGGCTGGACAGAGAGCTTGGGCACTAGTTGGTGAGGTCAGGGGTCATGCTGGGCCTGGGGAGGCCAGAATTTCACAGTTAGAGGAAATGCCTACCTGCAACGGTGGGGATTTCAGTACCTTAAAAAAAAAAAAAAAAGGAACAAAATATCTATTCAGGGCTTGGAAAGATTCTTATAACTGACTCTGAAAGGATGAATTGTAAAATGCACAACCGACACATTTAAACTCATAAATGTTAAACCATTCTATCAAAGTTTGGTTTGCAAAAGGGATTTCCATCTAAAGTGTAGGAGGTAATTCCATGGACCTACGCCAAGTACCAGCTACTTAGCCAATGAAATTGTCATACTCGTCACCTTCCACAAGGAGCTTTCTTGTGGTTTGTTTTCATGCAAAGAGCACCTGTGACATGCGCCCAGCAAATTCCCAGCACACAACACAGACATGTACCCCGTCCTCACTGGTCCTCAGCCCTCGGTTTAAGTCAGAGGAAGGGCCAGGTGGTGTCAGTGGAGAGTGGATTCACCCATAGAAGGGCCTCAGGGGAACCTCAGTCAGGCCCTCTGCACTGAGCTCCTCCAGGGCACTGGGGTATCAGGGTCCCCAAACCAAGGCCCACAGTGCCCCCTGGTGTCCACAGGACTCATGTCACCTACATGTGTCACCACTTCCTGCACCAGGCCTGCTTCAGTCCCACCCACACAATCTGGGTAGTTTGCTGAGTGTTTTACAGGAACTGCCTCAGCCAGGCCAGACCTTCTCAATAAGCCCCAGCAGCCCTGAGATTCAGGCACCATCTCTCCTCCTGTCTATGTCCAAGGACCATCATGGGAGGAGACATGACTTCCCCACAGTCCCAGACAGCAGTGGGAGGAGTTCAGGAGGCTCAGCTCAGAGCTACCCTCAGTCTCCCTGCCCTGCCTCCTGCTCCTGCCCCTCCTGCTCCTCCCTCCCAAGACTCCTAGGCCCTATTGTCACAGCCTCTCTTCTGTGTCCTGGGGCTCTGTCCTGGGTCTTGTGTACAGAGGTGGGGACCAATCCTCTATTCCCTCTAGGGTGGGTAACACGGGAGGGTGAGTCAGTGGGGACCCTGGGAATGTCAGAGGCCCAGTCGGCCTCCTCTGAGGCCTATGTTGTGACCAGTTATTTTCAAAGTCCTTTTTCTGCCAAAATAAGAGTCAAAATAATTTAAGATAGAAAGATAATGAGATATCGATGCGTTAGCGTAAACACAAATGCATGCCCATCTATAATAATCTGCCCTCTGAATCCAGTGAGCGCCGACCTGCCGCGTTCCGGTCTCCTTCGTCTCCACGTACTTTCCAACCTCCCTTTGGTTCCTTCCCTGACGCCCTCGCTATTTGTGAGTGTGCTTGTACAGTTTTCATATTCGCACATTCTAGGGAATTGTTGGTTACTGAGCCCTAATTCCATTGTCTTCTGTTTGGATCATATTCGCCACATTATTTCCGTCCGTTCAATGCATGGGTTCCTCCCAATGCCTGCAGGAAGGTCCACCCTGGAGCAGGATCCAGGTGCCCTTGGGGAGAAGGTGGGTTCTCTTGTGCTGGACGGACTGTCCCAGGTTGTGATCAAAGGGCAGGAGAAGCCATCACTTTCTGGTGTTGGTCCCCAGGGAGGAACCCTGTGACCTGGGACTCCCAGATCTGTCCTCAGTGCAGCGAGGCAGCAGGACACAGGTCAGGGTCCCCTTTTGTCCTGTGGTTTTTCAACGTTCTAGTTTCCATTTCAGTCCATGAACTGTGGCCCTTGAAATCATGTCTACCCAGAGATGTACTCACTGGTTTGTGTGCCAGACAATGTTTCCAAAGGGACGGTTTCCTTGACTGAATGCATATTAAAAAATCACTAACACAGATGGAAGACATGTTTGTAGATCAGAGCTTTATACAGTTGGGTAGAAGGGCCTGAGATGAAACTCGGGAGAGATGAAAGAACACGGAAAGTTTTCTTGATCTGGCTTGCTTCGAATTCACATGGATCTCCGTTTCTGTGGTGAACACAGACTGGCCGGGGTGAGCTGCAGAGATCAGGGCTGGAAACGCCACCTTCAGAAACCAAGAGCCGGCAACCTCCTATTACTGTAGAGACCTCGTCCACGTATGCTCATGAGTAGGCTGGGCCCCGTCCTCAGCCCCCATCTGCCCCTCTGTGCAGATCAGGGCTCAGCAGGTATGGAGGACCTTCCTCTAGAGAATCTCAATCTGAAACAGATTTTCCAGTGACCAGGGCCTACAGCACACGGCGCACGAGGTCCCCAGTGCTGCAAGACCACGGTCCCGTGGGGCACAGCGCTCAGAGCCTTATTGCTCAACCTAGTGGGGGCCTCCATTGCTCAAGAGGGTCCTACTGCGGGCAGAGAGCGTTGTCCTACCCTTGGAACTTTTTGCAAAAGTTTTCCCGAACTTCAGGCTCCAAGTACTCCTGGGTGAGAAATTCCAGCTCCAGTCAGCCCCACCAAATGTGAGTGTGGGAACATGACCCTGAGTGTTCACAGAATTAAACAGCGCCAGGAGACACCATAGACAAAGGTGGAGAATAACACTGCAGACAGAAGACCTGCGCTCCTTCAGGTCAGTGGGATGTGGGTGTAACCAGGTGCACCAGGTCCAGTCTCAACACCTAGGACGTAACTGTGACCCCAGGGGAGGAGCTGGTGTAGAGAGATGGGGACAGGGCTGTGGCCTCTGCTGGTGCAGGTTCCGGAGCCCCAGGCCCTGCCCCTGCTCCATGCTAGACGCACCACCTCCACCTCCCAGGGATCCCTGCTGGGCCTGCCCGACCTCAGGACGTGGAGCAGCCCACAGCTCTGACTGCATGCTCCCTTCATAACTAAATCCTAAATTTTTTTGCTGATATGGAGAACTGAAAAGCCCAGTGGTATTTTTCCTACTCTCTGGAGACAAAGTGCCTCAGCAAAGGGTCTAATATACCAGATTCCTCCTGCATGATTCAATCACCCTGATACAACAGAGCTCTGGGATTGGCTCCCCCGGCCCCTTGGTGCAGGTCCCAGGGTCTATATTATGACTGGGATGTGGGGGTTTGTGACGCTGAGGGACACAGTGTGAGCGTGTCCTGTTCCCCCTCCACGTGAGCGTGCACTGTCTCTGACCTGCTCTCTGAGAGGGTGGGGAGGGCTCAGGGTCTGCATCCATGGGGCGGCCTGTGCACCTGCAGCAGGTGGTCCTGTCCCAGCAAAGCTCAGCTCTGGGACAGAAACTGCAAACAGAATGATTCCCTGAGTGGAATCGACCTCCACCTTCCAGGATCTGAGTAGCTATAGTAGCGGCCAGACCCCGAAACTGACCACGTGGGCTCAGATGGAATCCCAAGGCATATGACAGAGTGCTGTCCCTGAGGGCACTGTCCTTCTGGGCTTCATGACCTTGGTGGGAACTTGAGACCTGGCCCCACTGAGGGCCTTCTGGCCTGATGTTTCCAAAGGAAATATTTCCAAAGGAATGGATCCTTCCTGGGGCTTACTCAGGGGCCCACACTCCTCATTTTGGCCCCATGGTTCCAAATCCTCAAAGTCACTGCCTAATGGAGGGGACCAGCAGTTAGCGTAATGGCTATGTTGCTGGACTCACACGTAGTCGACTGCGATTCGAGTCCCAGACCCGGTGGCTTAAAGTCATGCCGGGCGCGTGTGCGTGCGTGCCCAAGATCCCGAGAGGAGAATGGAGGAGAAGGGATTGCGGCATGACCATCCCCCCTGGGGGGTGATTTCTCGCTTTCTGTCTCTCTGTCTCTGTCTGTCTGGTGAGCGCACGCGCCCTATAACAAAAAAAATAAAAAAAAAAAATCATTGCCTAACGGATGCCGAGTTTTTCTCTGGGGCGATGAAGAGCTGATGCTGGCTAGAAGTGATGGTGGGCCAGCATTTGGAATGCACTTTCTACTGTTGAATTACGCACTTGAAAATGACGAAAAGGAAAAAAGTCATGTCTCATTGATTTCATAACAAAAAGAATATTGTACACTCTGGGAAAAAGTACAATTAGTGTAATAGAGAAATTACAGAGCTTAGAAAAATTTACAGATTCTGGTAGAAATACAGCCTCTGTACGCAGCAGCTGGTAACAGTGTGTCTTACTCTTTCTGCAGAAATGAAGAAACATTAAATGAGCAAACAGGTACATGCAGTTTAAATGATGCACTATGTTTTTAAAGTCAAAACAGGATCATGGGCACTGTACTGGATATAAAATTACATATATTTTACAGTTCATATTTTTCAGAATTTTTTTAAGGTTTGATACCTTAGGGTACCTGTGCTTGCCAGAGGGAGACAGACAGAAAAAGGGAAATTGAGAAATCCTCCACCCAGGGAGATGGCCACACTGCAGTCCCTTCTTCCGCATTCTCCTAGAATTTAGGGCATGCACGCACACACGCCCAGCATGATTTTCAAGCCATCAGATCTGGGACTTGAACTGTGGTCGACCATGTAGGGGTCAAGTGCCTTAACTACCACAGCATCCCTTTTATAGAATTCTTATGAAGTTTATGTGTTTTTTTTTTTTAATGGAAAAAAGACAGAGATAGAGAGATAGGAAGGCAGCCTCCGCCAACAAGGTCCTCACATCACAGTCAGCTCCCGCCTCAGCCCCCCGGGAGCATGGACACGCACACTGGCACCCAGCATGCTTGGGAGCATGGTGGCCATGCACACTGGCACCCAGCATGCTCAGAGAAGAACTGGGACCCAAACCCTGGCCCTTTCCACTGGGGACCAAGGTGTATTCCCGCTGCACCACTGCCTGCTGCCTCTTTATTTATCTCAGTGTATTTGCAGATGGCGTGGCTCGTGGAGATGCGAAGGGTTTTGAATGAAAGAGAGTGAACGACGGTGTCTACGTCAGTGTCCACTGTGACAGGCTGACCTGACTCTCAGGGAGGCACTTCCATCTGTGTCTCTGGTCAGGGTGCAGAGTGTATGCAGATGTGGGGTGTGTGTGTGTGTGTGTGTGTGTGTGTGCAGCCCACACCCCAGGTGTGTATCTGTGGCTCACGGTGCAGCGGGGGCTGTGGATTCTCCACCAGGGATTCACCTTCAGCCTGGATCTGACTCTCAGCTCTCCTAGAACCTGGGGCTCCCAGGAAGTGAGGGTCTTTTTGTGTTGTACACATGAAGGAATAAAGAGATGTGACAGGACATTTGGGCGTTAACAGTACAGAATCCGGAGCGAGTGCTGAACTCTGAGAACCGAATCGCACTTTCTCAGTTAAACAGTGGCCCCTGCGAGTCCCAAAACACTCAGTGGGGACAGATGGCCCCTAAAGGACTTCCCTGAAGCTGACTCTCCATAGGGACCTGCAGGCAAAGGCATGGGTGTGAGGAGGGAGGAGGAGGCCCAGGACAGGAGAAGGTGCAATGGGGGAGGGGGTAGGCCTTTCCTCAGGGAACTCTGGGGCTGAAGGACTTCCAGGTGGCCTTACATTTAGGCAGGGCCTGGGATCTTGGCCTCAGGGTATCATCACTAAGGATATCTCTGGGTACAGACAGAAATTTGAGGAAGGGGCGCAGCTCGGAGGGGATGACTGCTCCTGGCACAGGTGGGTGGGTCAGCCTTGAAGTGGTGGCTGCTCTATCAGGACTTCAGCCAGCGGGACAGAGCTAGTCCTGGACATTCGGACCAAAGAAAGGCCCAGTGACCGCAACAGAAACCTCGGATCAATAAGTGGAGGACACATGTGTCCTTATGTCTGTCCTCACACTTGAGTGATTTCTCCCCATGTCAGATAACAGACCCTAATCCCAGGGCAGTCTGGTCCTGCAGCCCTGAGTACACTCCCCACACTCCCTCTGCAGATCCCACCTGGAGGGCTGGGAGGAGAGGACAGCATGGGGGGCTCAGCTCCAGGTGACATGGGCCAGCCCTGCTATGTCCCCAGTCCTCCTGGGTCTGCAGGGAGAGTGAGACCCAGACAGCAAAGGGGGTTTGTGTCTCACTTCCCCATCTGCCTGTGTCACTGTGTGGTTGTTACCACTGCTGTCCGCTGAATAACAGTAATAGTCAGCCTCGTCCTCAGCCTGGGCCCTGGTAAGAGTCAGCGTGGCCGTTCCGCCTGAGAGGGAGCTGGAGAATCGGTCAGGGACCCCTGAGGGCCGGTTGTTATTACCATAGAGGAGCAGTGCAGGGCGCTGGCCTGGCTTCTGCTGGAACCAGTCAGCATAGTAGCTTCCTATGCCTCCTCCCTGGCAGGTGATCCTGACTGTCTGTCCCAGGGCCACGGACACAGAAAATGGCTGATTCAAGGCAGAGGAGGCCACAGAGCCTGCAAGAGACGACAGGAGAGGTGAGCCTGAGGCTGAGGGTCTCCTTCCCAGAGGGCCCCACACCCTGCAGCAGCCCCTGTGCTGAGCTGAAGGTCAGGCCAGGCTGGTCCCTGGTTGTGTGGGGCTGAGCCCTCGGGACAGCACCTGTGCAGAGAGTGAGGAGGGGGAGCAGGAGAGGGGTCCAGGCCATGGTGGAGACACCCCAGAGCTCTGCCTCTGAGCCCACCACACAGCTGGGCTCCCCAGGCTCCTCTTATTCCCTCTTGGGTTCTTGGTGGCCATGGCTATTTGGTGTTTATGCAAATTGGTTCCTCTCAGGGCTCCTCACTAGGGGCTAGGGAGTGTCATTCTACCCAGCTGTGGGCCTCAGACACACTCCTAAAAGGGTATGGAGCCCCCTAGTTAGTTCTGAGCTACTCTTCTGACCAAAACAATGGCCGTGACTTCAGAGATCCAGCTACAATGACATCCTGACCACGTAGTCACTGTCCCAAATGCTTTCCCTGTGATCTGTCCTGGGTCAAGTTCATGGGGCTGTTGACCTTCCTGGAGCCTGGCCATGGGCAGAGCTGACCCTGGTGAGAGGCCATCGATGTCATCTGTCATACAAGGAGACCTGGGGACCCCTCACCTCCCCCTTCACCTCCTCTCTGGTCTCCCACATGCACTGTGGTGTCATCCTGGTCCCTTCATCTAACTTCTCATCATTACGATCTTTAGTCCTCATTCAGAATGGCAGTGAGCTTACCCAGACCAGCACCAGAGTGTGGATTCCCTCCAACTTCTGCTTCACTGATGGGGAGACCCGCGCTGACACCCACAGCAGCCTTGCAAGTGGCATTCCCACATCCGGATCCCTTTCTCCCTACAGAGGCCAGGACCCCAAACGCGGCTGAGAGACCAGTTTCTGTCCCTGAGGTTCCAGGTTGCAGCCTCTGTCCAGAGGTGAGTTCTGCAGGGAGGTCGCTGTTCCTCCCAGCCAGGGGGTTCCTGTCCCCGAAGGTGCTGGGCATGCTCTACCCAGGAACTAGGTCCCGATGCCCCGCCTCCACCCCCTGACACTCACCTGAGCACAGAGGGGGCAGCCCTGAGGGCAGAGTCTGCCTGGAGGGGAGGAGGGCACAGGGAGGACAGGGCAGGGCTGCACTGGAAGTGCCCAGGATCGAGGCCTCATCCAGGGACCCCTGCTAGAGAGGGGTGGGGAGCTGAGAGTGGTCTGGGGCTCAGGGGCTGTCCAGGGGTAAGGCCTCTGGCCTGGAGCCCCGTCCTCTCACCCTGTGATCCTCTCGGGGTGCCTCAAGCCCAAGTGGTCTCCTGGGTGCGTTACTGTCGCTGACACCTGGGACTGGGTCACCAGCTGCATTGCCCAGGTGAGGCCCTCCCTGTGCCCTGGCTCCTGTCAGCGTCCTGGGTGACACTGGGAGTCTGGACCTCAGAATTTGGTTACTGCAGACCAAGTGGACACGATGAATATCTTCTCTTCCAGTCCCAGAAGTGGGCTGGGGACACCTGCTCACACCAGGACTGGGCTCCCTCTGAGGCTCCCCCTGGGCAGTCCTAGTCCAATCCTGGCAGGTTCTGGCTGGAGCACCACTGCCCCCTGCTGGTGGAGCAGGCTCAGAGCAGGAACTTCTGCCCTCAAGGTTACCCCAAAGCACCTCTCCCCTGAGAAGGTGTGGACCAGGGCACCTCCTCACTCCGCAGTCTCAGGGACGTGGGGCAGGTCCAAGTGCTGGATCCCTGTTCAAGGCTGACCTCCGTCTCTGGGCCTGCATTTCATAGAACAGTAAGATCTGGGAACACTGTAACTCTTCTGGGAGAAACATTAAAGTCAGAGAAACATTTGTGACACCCCAGAGGGCCACAGGGTTTTTATGTGCTCAGGAGCCAGGACTAGTGCCACCCACACACCAGGAAGGGGAGTCGGGCTGTCAGAGGGAGCCAGTGATCTTCTGCCCCTCAAGCTCAGGTTTGCCCTAAGTTACCACCACCACCATCACTGTCATTGTCCCCTCACCATCCTCACCATCACTGTCACCCTCAGCACCCTCACCAATGTCACCATTACCCAAATCCCCATCGGCACCGTCCCCATCACGTCTGTGACTATTACTGTTACTTGTCGCCCCCGTCATAGTGCTGAGCCCTTTCTCAGGGTCCCACAGGAGAGGACGGGGGACTCCTGGACCTGGGCCACTGCCTGAGACCCCACGTGATCAGCCTTGGAGTCAGAAGACCCTTTCAGGGCTTTGCATAATTGAGTTTCAAAAAACAAATTCCTTGCACGCATCCTTGTATGGGAAGGACAGGAGAGTCCACACCTGGGTTCATCCACCAAGACCCCACTGAGTCCTGTTTAATTGAAAATCCCTTACATGAATGTAATCATATCGTTTGTGCAACTGCGATTCTTAAGGTCAATACAATCCTCCCCACTTCACAGCAGGTAATGCTGAGGCCCAGGAGAACTGAGAACAGTGGCCCAGCCCAGGCATTGAGGCAGGTGTCTTGGAGTCAGTCCTGGGCTCCTTGGGGAACAGGGGACCAGGGTGGGCAGTAGGGGAGCCTGAGGCCAGGCTGGGCAGCAGGGTTGGTTTTCCAGCATTCACTGCCACCCCATCACAGCCTGGCCATCATGAGGGTCCCCTGGTGCACAAGTTGGGGAGCTCAGGGGGCTAGGCCCAGGGCAGAGCTGGGGACCCTGTGGGGACTGGGAGCCTGCTATGCTGGGCAGGGTGTCCTGGCTGCTGCTGGTCCTCCCTACACTGTCTGCTCCACTCTCTCCTGAGCAGGTGCTGACAGTGTCCATGGCCACCTTAGTGGGACAGTGGAGTCTCAAGAAGACCAGGGCCTGGAGGTTCAGGAGACTGTGGTCTCATCTAAGGGGTCTCCCTCAGAGTCCTGTGGGCTATGCTCAAGGTCCCGTGGGGGCTGAGGCTGTGGGCAGGACCTGGGACAGCCCCAGTGCAGAGTGAGGATGGGGCAGGACAGGGGCCCGGGCCATGTGGACACACCCAGAGCTCTGCCTCCACAGCCCACACTGGGATCTCCTGGTCTCTGTCACCTCCCAGAAGGATGAGGCTCTGGGTCAGTCACTTTACTGAAGCAGGTGGGCTCTCAAGAGCTCCAGTACTGCCGAGGGAGCTGGTCTGCAGGTAAACGGGCAGGCAGAGCCAAATCTCTCAGCTCCTCATCCAGGCTACAGCTTCCACTAGCACGCAGGAGAGGCCTCAACCCTGCTCCCTGCAGCTACTTCAGAGCAGGAGCTGGCCCCTGGGCCTGTGGCCTGGGAGGAGCTGAGTTCCAGGTCTGCCCAGGACCCAAGGCTCTCCACTCCCTTCCCAGAATGATGTGCCTTAAATCCTCCTCTGTCCATCCTCAAAACCTACAGGGATTCCCAACTCACACCCTGAGACCAACTGTGGCTGTCCCATGAGAGTTTTCCGTGACAGTAACACACGGGATGTCCTCCACGCACAGGGTCACTAGGGTTCATCGGGGAGCAGGCAGTTCAGACTGACCCCAACGACATTCTCAGTTCAACGTGGAAGAGCTAAAGAGGTGCCAGGTGAGAGCTCGCTGTGGCCACACGTGTGCTGAAGAGAGCAGTGTGGGAATCTGGCTGCTGTCTCTCAGGAAGGCAAGGGCAGGGGACCAGAGTCGGCCCCACGTGGAAGGTTCTCTCCTGTCCATATGACCAGGGTGTGAGCGAGGGCGGGGCTGTGCGGGCCGGGCTGGTGGCAGCTTTGTGTCTCACTTCCCCGTCTGCCTGTGTCACTGTGAGCAATGTCACTGCTGTCCCACACCTGACAGTAATAGTCGGCCTCATCTCCATCCTGGGCCCCGCTGATGGTCAGGGTGGCCGTGTTCCCTGAGGTGGAGCCTGAGAATCGGTCAGGGATCCCCGAGGGCCGATCGTTATTGTTATGGATGACCAGCCTGGGGGACGTGCCTGGCTTCTGCTGGTACCAGTGTAGAGTTTTCCAACTAATGTTGTCTCCCACACAGGGGATCCTGGCCGTCTGTCCCAAGGTCACTGACATTGAGGACTGCTGAGTCACATCATAGGAGGCCACGGAGCCTGTAAATTGAGAAAAAAAGCAGTTAGCTGAAAGAGGAAGGGCCATTCCTTCAAGATCCCCTGCCTGGGCTGGACTAGCTCAAAGGATGCTCTGGTCTCACAGAGCCCCTATCCTGTCAATCTCAGCCCAGAAGTCCCAAGGGCTTTGCTATTAGGTAACTTCTTTGAAAAACAAGAAAACCTGACCCAGTTCTCCTGACAGCTGCAGCCTCCCAGGCTCATAGCAGCCAATGAGTGCAGTGTCTGGGATCTCAGCCCCAACCCTTCACCCTGCAGCAGGTCCAGGACACACTCCCCCACAGGCAGGGCCCTCTGAGCTCATGGTCAGGTCAGGCTGTTCCCAGAGCCCTGGGACTGGGCCGTGGCTGAGCCTGGGCAGCACCTGTGCAGTGAGCGAGGAGGCCCAGGAGGAGAAGGGTCCAGGCCATGGTGGTCCTGAGGCTGCTTCCTAGGCCTAGGTTGGGCCGGTTCCTCCCAGGCCTGTCTTATTCCCTGGCTGGAGAGAGCTGCCCCTTATGCAAATCAGCCAGAGCTCAGGGGTGCTTGAGGGGCTCTGTGGTCTCCAGAGAAGGGCTCAGCCCAGGGATGTGATGGGGTTGCGTAGGGTATGGCCCTATGCTCCAACCTTAGCCCAGAGGGTTCTCCTTCACCTTCTCTCCCAGGTCTGGGCTGACATCTCCTCCCGCCTATCCACAGACCTCGCTCCTGGGGGACCACAGGGAGCACAGAGCTGATCCTCTCTGCATTTTCCGGGCAGCCTGAGCTCAGCCTACGGATGATCCTGGGTCTCCATCTGGACATGGGCAGAGACACACTGGACAGCAGAGACCGCGGGACTCGGTCAGGAGGGAGGTGTGGATCTGGGTCTAGGAACAGAGGAATCCATCTCGCGCTGGGGCACCGTCCAGACGTCAGGTCTAGTGCTGGCTCCGTATTTAGGGCTCCTTTCAGGCCCAAGGCAGTGACCCTCTTCCTCCCTGGTGCAGGGACCTCCCCCAGATCCCAGCCACTGCTGGGAGGTTCTGCCCTTGGCCCTGAGCTCCTGAGCAGGTCAGGTCTGTGCCTCAGTCTCCCCAGTGTGGGCTTATGGGCAAGGCCAGACTGGGATGGAGAACTGTGTGCTGTTCAGGAGAGTGAGGGCGGGCTGCAGACTCTTCCAGAAACTCGTGTGAGTGTCTGTTTAATGAAGTTACCTTGAGATGCTGTGAAAACGTATGAAGGAATGAAAATTTAACTTAGTCACCCCAAGGAAATGGAGCAGCGACCGTGGGCCTTACTCGCTGGCAAATCGGGACAGCTGCACCAGGAGAGAACAGCAATGCAGGGGGTCAAGGAGCACCCAGGACTGAGGAGCAGACGTGTGGGCAGGACAAGGGTCTCAGAGCACAGGGAGGAGGTAGAGGGACACGTGAGAATAGGGGAGAGGAGGGACATGAGTGAGTACAGGTCACACTTGTGACCACAGGGAGGGGAAGGATCAGTCATGCCCTCTGCCCTTGAGGCCTGCCAGGGCCTTGGGTTACCAGTCACCACAAGGCCACAGTGCCCCCTGGTGCCCACAGGAGGAATGGCACCCTACCCTTGTCCCCACTTCATGCACAATGACCTCTCTGGGCCCTTCCTACAGTCCAGAGTGGTTCGTGTTATACACACCTGACTTCAGTCTGCATTTTCCCACAGCCCCCAGCAGCCCTGAGTGTAAGGGCACCATCTCTCCTCCCGTCTGTACCAGAAAGTAACTACCGTGGCTCCTGCTGGTCCCTTATTGAGAATTCTTATGAAGTTCATGTATTTTTTTTTCTTGGGAGAGACAGGAGGGCAGGCACCTGCAACACGGTCTTCACACCACAGTCCCCTCCTCTCATCCCCCCTGGGGCATGGACACGCACACTGGCACCCAGCGTGCTCAGACAGGAACTGGGACCCAAACCCAAGCCCTTTCAATGGGGATCCACTTACATTCCCACAGAACCTCTGCCCACTGCCTTTTTTGTCTTTTCTAAAAATTTATTTGTAAACTGTGTGTCCTTTGGAGACGTGAATGGTTTTCACATGGAAAAGGGTCGATGGACTGTGTCGGCTGCTTCAGTGTCTATGCTGACGGCCTGAATCTCACTGTGTCACTTCTCTCTGTGTTTCTGGTCAGGGATGAAGAGACAGAGTGTGTAGACATGGAGGAGGAGGTAGGGGGCGTGGAGTGCAGCTCACACCCCCAGGTGCGGGTAACGGAGCAGCTGGGGCCGCGGCTCCTCTTTCCTGGGATTGACCTCAGCTTGGATCTGACCATCGGCTCTCTGAGAACTGGGAGCTCCTAGGATGTGAGGATTATTATTCATTCCAAGAAAATTCAGGGAACCACGAAATCTTCGGGGACACGTGGTGTTCACACTGGGAATTTAGGAGGGAAGCAGAGCTCTCAGGTGCACAGTGACCCCCACAGGCCCTGATGCCCGAGGTGGGGACAGCTGGCCCCCACATGGCTTCCCTGACGCTGACTCTCCATGGAGACCTCAGGCTCAGGCAAGCCTGGAAGGAGGGAGGAGGCCGCCCAGGGCAGGAGGGGTTGCTGACCTAAGGGAGGGTGCAATGGAGGGACTCTGGCTTCCCTCCAAGGAACTCTGGAGCTGGGAGACTTCAGGTGTCCCTAAGTTGAGGCAGGGTCTGGGAGCTGGAGCTCAGGCTGTCATCAAACCAGACCTCTCTGGGTAGAGGCATGAACTGGAGGAAGGGGCCCAGCTCTGAGGGGCTGACAGCTCCCAGCAGAGGAGGTGGGTCAGCCCTGAAGTGGGGCCGGGCAGATCCCACAGGGCCCACGTCACAGGCTTGCTCTGTGAGAATCCCATCATGCCAAGGTGCTGCTCTGTCAGGACTTCAGCCAGCTGGACAGGGCTAGGTGTTAGTCCTGGATATTTGGACCAAAGAGAGGCCCAGTGACCTCCACAGAAACCCGGGTCAATAAGTGAAGGACGGCTGTGTCCTCATGTCTTTCATCGAACTCAAGCTGCTTCTCTGCATCTCGAATAACGGACCCTAATCCCAGGGCAGTCTGGTCCTGCAGCCCCGAGTGCACTCCCCACACTCCCTCTGCAGATCCCACCTGGAGGGCTGGGAGGAGAGGACAGCATGGGGGTCTCAGCTCCAGGTGACATGGGCCAGCCCTGCTATGTCCCTAGTCCTCCTGGGTCTGCAGGGAGAATGAGACCCACATGGGAAAGGGGGTTTGTGTCTGACTTCCCCATCTGCCTGTGTCACTGTGCAAGATTACCACTGTATGCTGACTGACAGTAATAGTTGGCCTCGTCCTCAGCCTGGGCCCCAGAGATGGTCAGGGTGGCCGTTCCACCAGAGCAGTGTCCAGTGATAGTGAGACCCAGACAGGGAAGGGGTTTGTGTCTCACTTCCCCATCTGCCCGTGTCACTGTGTCAACTTCACCACTGCTGTCCCATGACTGACAGTAATAGTCAGCCTCGTCCTCAGCCTGGGCCCCAGTGATGGTCAGGGTGGCCGTTCCACCAGAGCGGGAGCCGGAGAATCGCTCAGGGACCCCTGAGGCCCGACTGTTATCATAATAGATGAGCAGTGCAGGGCGCAGGCTGGGCCTCTGCTGGTACCAGTTAGCACCATAGCTTCCTAAGTCTCCACCCTGGCAGGTGATGCTGACTGTCTCTCCCAGGGCCACAGACACCGCAGGTGGCTGAGTCAGCGCAGAGGAGGCCACAGATCCTGCAGGAGAGGACAGGAGAGGTGAGCCTGAAGCCAAAGGCCTCATTCCCAGAGGGCCCCACACCCTGCAGCATCCCCTGTGCTGAGCTGAAGGTCAGGCCAGGCTGGTCCCTGGTTGTGTGGGGCTGAACCCTGGGGGCAGCACCTGTGCAGAGAGTGAGGAGGGGGAGCAGAAGAAGGGTCCAGGCCATAGTGGAGACACCCCAGAGCTCTGCCTCTGAGCCCACAGATGGGGAGGGCCCCCAGGTCTCTCTTATCCTGGGAGAGGGGGGCTCCTCATGCAAATGCCCTCCTTCCTTCTGTGGCTGTGGGTGGTTCCCTGCTGAGCAGAGAAAGGCTGGGCTTCCTTGAGGGTGTCCCATGGGCCTGTCCCCAAGGCTTGTGCCCAGGATCTTAGAGTCTCTGGTGTTAAGAGGGAAATTACTGCCTCAACACACACACACACACACACACACACACACACACACACACACCCCTCAGGCTGCATTCTGGCTCCCTTCCCCTGGTCTGGGTAAGACCCCCTCACTCCCCTATCTATGGCTGAGACTGTCCCTGGGTTGGCTGAGGAGAGCTTGGCTGGACCTGATGGATTCAGGGCTCATGGTGGGGCAGGGGAGGCCAGAATTCCACAATGGGATTCAGAGTGAATGCCCACAGGCCTTGGGGTGGATTTTATTGTTTTAGGGGGAAAATAAATACGATATTTTTACCTAGAATGTGGCAAAAATTTTCAGTACTGACACCCAGCCTTCAGATCATAAAAGGAGTACCTGAGAGGTTAGTCTTGTCAGAAGTAAAATCTTACTAACTTCATCAGATTTAGGACTGGGTCTCCCCGTGCTGAGACCTCATGCCTCGGCCTTCGCCTCAGAGCGGACATGAGGTCCAGACTTGCTTTCCAGACAGAGCCTCACTGTGCTGCCCAGGCCAGGCTGGAGCTGGGGACTCCCTCCTCAGTTCCTGAGACTCTGGGGTTTCTCGGACACACCAACAGTCCCGGCTGTAGGCTGGACTAGAATCGGACCTTCTCCACACACGCGGGCCGGCCCACAGAGCACAGCTTGTCAGCGGTGTGTCCCTGTGGGGCTGGGCATTGCAATTTTACTTTTTAAAATAGTGTATTATGAAGTTATATATTTAAACAAAGTGAAATGCTATAGGCAAGAGATTACTATATTCACGCAATTTTACTTTTTAAAATAGTGTATTATGAAGTTATATATTTAAACAAAGTGAAATGCTATAGGCAAGAGATTACTATATTCACACAAATCTGTTTAATTTTCTCCCTTGTTACTTTTGGGTTTTTATTTTTGCCTTTTTATTGGTGAAAAGAGGACCTAAATTCTACTCCTAGCACGTTTCTAACTGTAATGACACATAACTGTAGCCTCATGCTGTGCGTGGTGACATCTTTAGACTCAGAGGAAGGGCCAGGTGGTGTCAGTGGAGAGTGGATTCACCCACAGAAGGGCCCCAGGGGAATCTCAGTCATGCCCTCTGCACTGAGCTCCTCCAGGGCACTGGGGTATCAGGGTCCCCAAACCAAGGCCCACAGTGCCCCCTGGTGTCCACAGGACTCACGTCACCTACATGTGTCACTACTTCCTGCACCAGGCCTGCTTCAGTCCTGCCCACACAATCTTGGTAGTTTGTTGAGTGTTTTACAGGAACCCCCTCAGCCAGACCTTCCCAGTAACCCCAGCAGCCCTGGGCTTCAGGCACCATTTCTCCCCCTATGTCCAAGGACCATCATGGGAGGTGACATGACTTCCCCACAGTAAAAGAAAGTAGTGGGAGGAGCCCAGGGGACTCAGCTCAGAGCTGCCCTCAGCCTCCCTGCCCTGCCTCCTGCTCCTGCCCCTCCTCCTCCTCCCTCCCAGACTCCTAGGCCCTATTGTCACAGCCTCTCTTCTGTGTCCTGGGGCTGTCCTGAGTCTTGTGGACAGAGGTGGGGACCAATCCTCTATTCCCTCTAGGGTGGGTAACACAGGAGGGTGAGTCAGTGGGGACCCTGGGCACATCACAGGCCCAGTCAGCCTCCTCTGAGGCCAATGTCCTGACCAGTTATTTTCAAAGTCCTTTTCTGCCAAAATAAGAGTCAAAATAATTTAAGATAAAAAGATAAATAAATATTGATGCGTTAGTGTAAACACAGATCCATGCCCATCTGTAATAATCTGCCCTCTGAGCCAGGTCGGCAGAATCCAGTGAGCGCCGACCTGCCGCGTTCCGGTCTCCTTCGTCTCCACGTATTTTCCAACCTCCCTTTGATTTCTTCCCTGACGCCCTCGCTATTTGTGAGTGTGCTTGCACATTTTTCATATTCGCAGGTTCTAGGGAATTGCTGGTTACTGAGCCCTAATCCCGTTCTATTCTGTTTGGATCTTATTCACCGCATAATTTCCATCTTTTCAATGCACGGGTTCCTCCCAATGCCTGCAGTGAGGTCCACCCTGGAGGAGGATCCAGGTGCCCTTGGGGAGAAGATGGGTTCTCTTGTGCCTGAAGGACTGTCCCAGGTTGTGATCAAAGGGCAGGAGAGGCCATCACTTTCTGGTGTTGGTCCCCAGGGAGGGGCCCTGTGACCTGGGACTCTGAGCTGTCCTCACTGCAGTGAGGCAGCAGGACACGGGTCAGGATCCAATTTTGGTCTGATTTTTCAAGGTGATAGTTTTCATTTCAATCCATACACTGACACTAGCTATCATGGCTGTGCAGAGAGGTGTTTACTTGTTCCTGTGCCAGAAATGTCCCCGAAGGGACTGTTTTCTGCAGTGTCTGCACATTCAAAAATCATGAATCCATATTACAGCCATGCCTGTAGATGACAGACTCATGCGCTCTGAGTAGAAGGGCCTGGGGTGGAACTGGGGGAGATGAGAAAACACAGGAGACTGTCTTGATGCAGCTCGCTTCGAACCCACGAGATTCAGGTACCTCAGTTGAACACAGACGTGCTGGGGTGGGCAGTGGAGTGCAGGCTGGAAACTCCACCTTCAGACAGACAGGAGCCTGCAACCTCCAGTACATCCAGAGACCTCATCCACTCAGGTCCACGAGTAGGGCAGGCCATTCTCAGCCCCCCTCTGCCCTTCTGTGCCATACTGGACCAACAGTTATGCAGGCCCTTCCTCTCAAGGGGCCCTGAAACAGACTCCACAGTGTCAACGGGCCTACAGGACGTGGTGCTTGAGGTCAGCTGAACTCCAAGAACATGGCCTTGTGGTGCACAGCCCTAGGAGCCCTATCCCTCAGCACACCACAGGCCTACTGTGCTCAGGATGGTCCTACTGTGGGCAGGGAACACCGTCTTGATCCAGAAAACTTTTTGCAAGCTTCGGCTCCAAGTAATGTATGGTGAGAAATGCCCCCTCTAGTCAGTCCCCACCCAACTGTGAGTGTGGAACATGAGATTCTGACTATTCACAAACATGACAGCTCCAGGGGACACTCTCGGACATCAGGGGGAGTGTCACCTTGTAGACAGCAGACCTGTGCACCTTCAGGTGAGAGGGCGTTGGTGTCACCAGTGCACCAGGTCCAGTCTCCACACCCAGGACCTCAGTGTGACCCCTGGGGAGGAGCTGGTGTAGAGAGATGGAGACAGGGCTGTGGCCTCTGCTGGTGCAGGTTCCTGAGCCCCAGGCCCTGCCCCTCCTCCAGTGTAGATGCAGCACCTCCACCTCCCAGGGATACCTGCTGGGCCTGCCTGACCTCAGGACGTGGAGCAGCCCACAGTTCTGACTGCATGCTCCCTTGACAACTAAAATCTAAAAATCTTGGTAATATGGAGGACTGAAATGCCTGATGGTGTTTTTCCTACTCTCAAGAAAGAAAATGGCTGATCAAAGCGTCTTATATACCATCTTCTTCCTACGTGATCCACTCTCATGATGCTGTAGAGCCCCGGGATTTCCCTTCATGTCCACGTGGTCCAGGCCCCAGGTCTATACTGTGACTGTGAAAGGAGCTTTCATGATGCCGAGGGGACAAAGTGTGAGTGTGTACTGTTCTCCACTCCATGTGAACGCGCACTGTCTCTGTCCTGCTCTCTGAGAGGTAACGAGGGGCTCAGGGTCTGCATCCATGGGGCAGCCTGTGCACCTGCAGCAGGTGGTTCTATTCCAGCAGAGCTCCCGTCCGGTCAGAAATTGCAAGTAGGAGGATTGCATTTCCACCTTCCAGGATCCATTCCACTATAGTAGGGACCAGTCCCCTAGAGTGATAGATGGGGTCACCAGTCAGACAGGAGAAGAGAAAGGTGTCCCTGAGGTCACTGTTCTGCTGGGAATCCTCCTCTCCTTGGGGACAACCAGCCTAGAGCAGAGCACACAACCTGTGTTTCCTCTGTTCCCTGGATAGAGGACTCTGTCCTTTAAGGACCCCCACCACCACCACCACCACCAACATATACACACATTATAACCTGGCCCTACCTGCTGAGGGACGTTCTATACCTGACATTTCCAATTGAATAGCACACACCACCATGGATCCTCCCTGAGGCTCTCACTGGACACACCCATGGTCCTTCCTAGGGTTCAAATTCCTGAAAGTCATCGCTTACTAGGTACAGAGTTTCTATGGTGGGTGATGAAAACCTCGGACTGGCTAGAGGTGATGGGGGAGCAACATTCTGAACATACTTCCTACTGCTGACCTACACATTTAGAAATGATGAAAACAGTCAGATTCTTGTTCTGTAGATTTTGTCAAAATAAGAAAATTGCATGCTTTGGCAAAAAGTAAACTAAGTATAATATTCAAATTATGGAATTGAAAAAATACAGATTTTGATGGTAATTCTCTCTCTACTCAGCAACTGTTAACATTGTTTGTGTTTTATTATCCTTTGTATGGCTATAAATGAACTTAAAATAAGCAAACAGGTCCCTTTAGTTTAAATGATGTTGTATTTATATAAGGTCAAAATAAGATCATTTTTGCTGTACTTGATATGAAATTATGGATGTTTTTCAGTTAAATTTTTATAATTT